AAATTTAAGTTAAATACTTCAAAAAACATGAGTCTTACAACAAATAGTCTATTACAAGTCACAACCAAAGCCTGAAATAGTCTATTACAACCAAAAAACAATCAAGTATGGACCGGTTTCTCGGTTTGGATGGGTCGGTTTCTTAGGGTGGTTTGTCGGTTTTAAGTATGGGTCGGTTTCTGGGGTTGGATGGTTCGGTTTCTGGGTAAAAACCGAAATCGAACCCGATTTTTCGGTTTTTAAAAAATTCAAACCCTAACCGTTGGTTTTGCTTCGGTTTCGGTTTTTTCGGTTTCGGTTTCGTCGGTTTTAGTCGGTTTCTCGGTTTCTTGGTTTGGGTTTGCTCACCCCTACAAAAAACCCCTTAAAAACTAAGGTTTTTCTTGTGCACACCTCAATACCCTTTCTACCCCTTTCTTGTACTTTCCTTTTTTTTTGTTGTTTTTTTACCTTTTGTTTTTGTTTTTTATTTATTTTTGTTATTATTAAACATATTAAACTAATTAAAATTTATTAAACAACTTTTTTTTATTAAATAAACGATCTTAATGCTATTTTTTTTGTCAATTAAGGAGTTTGATCATATGGAAGATGTCAACCACGGATTAAATTTATTTTGTAGTTAATAGAGAATTAGAGATGATTACAAATATTAAAATAAAATTATGAATTTAAACTTTTACCCTAAAAAAATTAAACAATTTCGAAAGATTGTCACTACAACGTTATTATTAAACATACAATGTTTGTTATTAAACAAATTAAACATTAAACATTAAACAAATTAAAATTTTGTATTCAATCGGGCGTGATACAACGTAAGCATACAATGTTATTATTAAACAAATTAAAAGTTTACATTTTATTAATTATCTGATACGTTAACTCTTGTATGACGATTATTGCATGGTCTATATGGTGGAACGTAAGCGTTCAATCGACCATGATACAATGTTTGCCATCCAGTAGAGTGCTAATTTGTGCATATTTTTCAACCAAGAAACATTAGACATTGGATGGCCATATTGTTAATCAACCTTAACATAATGATCACAACTGTTAAGGAGGACGATATTTATAATTCGATGATTTGGAAAATCTTGTGGACCACTCCAAAGCGGGAAAGACGTAGAAGATTCGTCTTTACTTAATAAATGAACAATGACACGATATTTATTAGCAATTAGAATACCAGTGTCAGACATAATCATCCAATATGTTTGAATCACATGTGTTTCATAGAAATTCAATGCTTCACTAATAACAATTATGTCATTTTCAAAAACCATTCTGTAATCATCAATGTGCATCAATAACTCTTCGTATAAGTCCTTCCGAATTTGATGTCAATAGTCTTCACTAAAACCAAGAGCAACAGCTACTACCTAGAATCCACAATTTCCATCGTCTTCCACATTTTGTATGTGTGACAAGTATGGTTGAAATTCACTTGAAATTTCATTCATAAGTGCGTGGTCGAAGTAGGATCTTTGATACGTTGGTTCCTGGTTGAACATTAAAGATTCTCCAAACGAATATGTGATGCGCCTCTTCGGTTCCGGTTGTTTGTTTAAATCAAACATATTAGACCCTGTGTTTCATGGGTTAAAAAAGAAAGATGTGGGTATGTATAAGACTATGATATTGACTTGTGGTAGGTATGGATGGAAGTATGAGGCTATTGGCTTGTGGTAGGTATGGATGGAAGTACGATGCTATTAAATTGTTTGAGGAGATGTTGGAGGCTAATATTTGCCCTAACTTGGTAACCTTTTTTGGGCTTTTAACTGCATTAAATAATGGGGCTAACAAGCCAAGTAGTCGGATAACATGGTAAAAAAAGATTATATGGAACATCTAGCTTTAAAATAGAGATTTTTTGGATTATATAAGTTTTACAGTGGAGTAAATTTTGGAATATAAAGCAAATTTTTTGGTTTTACTTAAATATTAAGTGTAACTTGTTCGTTTATTCGACAAAAAACAATATACCATAAATTTTAAATTCTTTATATTTTTATGAGTTAACTGTATTGTAATTATAAGAAGTATTTGTTCAAAATAAGGGAATATGACTTATTAAGGTAATTAACTTTTCGGTTTGTTCATATCTAGATAACTATCTTTTTTTTACACGTCTAGATAACAAACTTGTTGCAAGTATTCACATATGACCATTATGACCTGTTGTGGCAGGTTACATCCGGCTACAACATGTTATAATGGTCATATGTGAGCACTTTCAACAAGTTCGTTACCTAGATGTGTACAAAAAAAAATAGTTACCCAAATATGAGCAAAAGCGAAAAATAAGAGTAAATTACACGAATGGTCCCTGTGGTTTGGGGGAATTTGTGTTTTTGGTCCCTAACTTATTTTCTAACTCAGACGGCCTCTACTTTTTATTTTTGTTGCGCGTTTGGTCCCTGTCTTACCTAAAAAGACTATTGTGCCCTTGTTAATTTATTTTTTAATTAATTTTCTTATTTATGTATTTATTTTTTATATATTTAAAAAAATTAATAGACCCACATATCTGTATCTCCTCACCGTAAACCTGAAACCACATTTGAGAAATTTAATATGGGTCTCACCGGTCACCATCCCATCTCTCATCCTCCTTAACTTTTATTTCATTTCCATCTTTAGTGACATCGACGTCTTCACCATCCTTCTTTTTTTGTTCCTTCAATTCTGACGAACCAACACCATAACCCACTATCTCTTCATCTTTAATGGGTTGTGGTGTTGATTCGAAGGAGTTGTAGGACCGAAAAAAGAAGGGATGATGAACACGGTGATATCACTAAAGATGGAAAAGAAATAGAAGTTGAGAAGGATGAGAGATGTGATGGTGAGGAGATATAAATATGTGGGGTCTATTAATTTTTTTAAATATATAAAGAATAAATACATAAATAAGAAAATTAATTAAAAAAATAAATTAATAAGGGCACAATAGTCTTTTTAGGTAAGACATGGACCAAGAACGCAACAAAAATAAACAGTTGGGATCATCCGAGTTAAAAAAATTAGAGACCAAACACACAAATTCTCCCAAACCACAGAGATCATTCGTGTAATTTACTCTTACTTTTCGTTTTGTTCATATTTGGGTAACTATTTTTTTTTGTACACATCTAGGTAACGAACTTGTTGAAAGTGTTCACATATGACCATTATGACCTGCTGTAGCCGGATATAACATGCTACAGCAGGTCATAATAGTCATATGTGAACACTTCTAACAAGTTTGTTACCTAGATGTGTACAAAAAAAAATAGTTACCCAGATGTGAACAAACCGAAAAGTTAATTACCTTAATAAGTCATATTCCCTTCAAAATAATATACACAAGATTATACAAAAAA